AAAAAAAAAAAAAAAAAAGTTCGACGCGAACTCGATTCGAAGGAGAAAAATTTTCGAGAAATTTTTTCGAGACACGATTTTTTTTTGCCAACGATGATCGTTTTCCTGGGAATTTTAACAATGTACATAAAAGATCGCGCCCGTATTCACGGGTTTGGTAATTATTGAAACGAATAAAATTTTCACTCTGTACGTAATAATAAGCAGACACGCGAATATAACCATAATAATTGCGAAAACGTGCCCCCGAATCGTCGTAATACAAACGTATCAAAAATTATTATTTGCCGCTCGATGTCCAATGACCAGAAAAATATTTGCCTAAAGCGCGTACACCGGTGGATACGGATCGCATTTGAAATTCGAATTATTATAATTACGGTGTGTGCGATTAAAAATGAGAAAGCTGGAGAGAGGAGGATAAAGGGATGCGTAACCTCCGCTTCGTTCGATGATATAATTATAAAGAGTTACATGGTAGAATGCGTCTACGAGCTGCGCTTATTAAACCAAAAATTTCATGCGCATTAAATTAAGAATAGATTGTATGCATTATCGTGTATATCCCACAGATATTTTTCCCTGGTGAATAAAAAATGCAAAAAAAAAAAAAAAAAAAAAAAAAGAAAGAGAAAAAAAAATAAAAGAAGAAAAAAAAAGAAGGAAAGAAAGATAATGAATGAACGAAAAACTTGAATTACCTTACGTACGCGTAGTTTCGTTCGCGTAGCGTGCGTGAAACTTTATTTTTCTTTTTTCTTTTTTTTTTTTTTTTTTTTTTTTATTTTTACCTTTTTCGAGCCACCGCTAACGATTCCGATATTGACACGGGACATAGGTTTTTAAAACGGAAGATTCTCCCTTCCTCTTTTGTTTCTTTTATTTTTTATCTATTGTTTTTTCTCTTTTCCTTTTTCCCTCCTCCCTTTTAATAGGGCGACAAGCGCGTTAATACACGTATAACGCGCACACGCGTGTATTTATAATTCGACGGAAGAAAGAGAGGATGAAATAGGAAGGAAAAGCTCGTGGCGTCCGCGTGAATGTGCATCGTGGTTGCCGTGTCGTTGTCGAGAGAGAACGAGAGTGACAAGGTAGAAGAGAAGAGTTATTAAAATGTAAATATGAATCGACAATCTGTAACCCAGCGCGTCGCGTTAAGCACGTGTGGCGCTGCCGTGTAGATAAACGTGCCTCGAATATTCCCGAAAGCGCGATGACGTTCGTAAATGGGCTCGGTGGAAAACTTATTTCAACCAACTTTTTTATCGCCAACAATTCTATCCAACCGCATGGAACGTCAACTTTTTACGCTCGATTTAACTTCTTCGACTCGAAAAGCCTCCGTTCTTTTTGCGCCAAAACGGATATTGATAAATAATTTGCCACCAATTTTTATCTCGTTAACGCGATAATAATCATATTTTTTTTTTTTTTTTCTTTATAGAACACCCTGATATCGTTCCCCCGATTGTTCGTTCAGGAAGGTCGCGAATGAAAAACTACGACTACGCTTGATTAATCGCGATCTCGCGTAATTTTCGACTCTTCTCTCTTACATATATATTTTTCATTTCTCGACGGGGATAGATCCGAGCATATCGGGACCATATTATACGAATCCAGTGGAAATAAAAATTCCTCGCCGTTCTGCTTCTGTTTTTTTACGGTGCCAGCCATAAATTTTTCTTCCCACCCCCCTCGAAACGCTTTCCTCCTGATCCTCTCTTTTTCTCTCCGTGTCGACCGGCTTCACAGATTTATGGACTTATAGATTCTTCCTCCTTTCTTTCTCCTCCGTCCCGTGGATTTAGCGAGGCTAGCGAGGTAGGAATCTCTAAACCTTTCTCCTACGTTTCTCCCTTCGAATCTATTCCCCCAGCTACAACGTTATATCGCGACAAATAATAATCACAATAATCATTTGTGCTTCACGATCGACAGATACATCACGTTAATTCCATCCTTAATAGGGAGGAGAAGGGAGGGGGTGATCCCATCCGAGAGGAGAGGAGATATTTTTTTTTGCCAAGGCAACGAGGTATAGTTGGGGCGTGCAATTATATCCAGGAGGATAGTATCCGCCGGTTGGAAACATCGAAAGCGAAATCCCATGGGATGACAGTAACCACAGGCGGTTCCTTTCCATGGCCGGTGGAATCTCATTCTTCGTCCCCTTTTGCTGCCAGCATCCCCGGCCACGACCGGAGGATCCCTACCTCCTCGATCTTTCTCTCTCTCTCTCTCTCTCTCTCTCTCTCTCTCTCTCTCTCTCTCTCTCTCTGTTCCTCCGCCTCTGCTCTCCCAGTTGATTGCTCTCTCGCGCCGCAACGGCGGCCGCGATAGCTCATAAATATTCAATGGCCACGCGGCCAAGATAAACTAATTAAAACTTAGATCTCGGTAGTCACTTTAGATTTTTACTTACACAAGAAGCATTTCAGCGGGGCCGGCCGGCCGGCCTGCCTGCCTGCCTGCCTGCCTGCCTGCCTGCTTGCCGGCCGAGAAAAAAGTCTACACGGAGCAGGGGGGAGGCAGGGGGTGTCCCCCCGAAGCCGCGAATCCGATTCGACTGTTCGCGGCGACCGGCACGCCACAGGAAGCTCCCCAAGGAGGGGAGGAGGGCGAAGAACCTCTCGCAGGCAAAAGGACGCGCAAAGAAGAAAGCTTTACTCTGTACTTCTCATTAAGGAAACCACGCTTTCTTTTCCTCTCTCTCCCCCTCTCCCCCTTGTAGCCCTTTACGTCTTTCGAAAGGGCGTTCATCCCCCTTTCACCGTGTCCTCCTTCTTTTCTCTCCTTCTTTTTCTCCAAGGCCTTAACGAGAGCGCACCGCAGAGAAATACGATCGTCCAGATTTTAACACGTTTTTATTGTATCTTTTAAATTCGGTCGGCGATTCGAAAAGTGGAGGGAAATTCCAGAGATAGTTGTCTAGCGCGACTTCTCAATCCTCGGGTGAACGAAACGATACGCGTGGAATCACGTATCCACGGTTGGGATAAAAATCTCTTACGCCTTGGAGCAAGTTGAAGCGATTTCTCCAACGAAAAATCATTCCATCGGTGGGAGAATATTATCGCGGGAGAGAGAAAAAAGGAAACTCGTTCTCCTCGCGATCTTTGGTGTCAAACAAGTGGCGAGCGACTCTCTCTCTCTCTCTCTCTCTCTTTCTCTCTTTCTCCTCGACCTGCGATGCGAAGAACGAGGGCGAAGAAGAGAGTTGGCTCGTCGTCACGCTCGTCACTTGCAATATCGTTCACGATCGATCGAAAGAGAGATCCGTGAATAATCGGCCGGATCCATTATCCGCGTTTTTTTCCTTCAACGTCTCCGTCGCTAACGAAATGATTTATTAACAAGTTCGGGGGAGGGAGAGCAGGAGGCAGCGATCTTTCGCCTCGTTTCTCATGGTTTCTCGATTCGAGCAAAATTCGAAAGCAAAAGTTCTTTTTAACCGCGAATTTTCTTTCTTTCGCCCTTCGTCTTATCAACGGGAAGGAAAATCGAGTTCAAGAGAAGGTTGGTCCTTCGTTCGAGGAAAATAGGATGCTCCCCTTCGATGATGACGAAGATGCGGGCAGAGATCGGTCGATCCTTCGTTAGAAATTCCGCGCAATCATATTCGAGCAAATAATTCGTTAGGCCCTCGTTCCACGGCCTGTTCGTTAGTATAATTAAAATAAATTCAAATGACTCTCTCTTGTGTCCCCCGTCTTTGGTCTCGCAGGCATTCTCCTTCTTCTTCCGTCTCTCCTCCTCCTCCTCCTCCTCCTCCTCCTTTCTTCCGCTTGTTCTTCTTAAATCCGTTGATTAGTGCAAAAATCCGCTTACAAATTAAGCGGAGCCTCGTGGCCGTGCCTCCAAACTCCCTCGAGGACTCTCCTCGAAGAGAAGGACGGAGGAGGAATCTCCGAACTCCCTCCGGAGAGAAACGAAAGAGAAAAAGAGAGGAAGGAAAGAGAGGAGGACGAAAGGGAAAGAAGGCTGAAAGAAGGGTGAGTACTTTAATATCTTAAGTAAACCTGGCGCGGGATAAAGAAGAGGAAAAAGGAAAAAATAACTCCTGCTCGAGACGAGAGCCGTGGAAAGGAAGCGGGGGGCGGTACGCGAAAACATGCGCGACGAATTAAAATACGAATCGAGGGAGAGGAGGAATCGGGGAGTCGGAGTTTCAGCGCGGAAAATATTTGCTTTTTCGTCTCCTTCCAGCTCGGATTGGAGAGGGTAAAAAAAGAAAGTAGCGAAAGATTAATGCGACGAATGCAATCGTCGGGGAAAAGAAGGTGAAAAAAAAATCTCCTCGCAACAATTTTGAAAATCTTCTCGAACTACTTCTCTAACTTGGCAAGTGTAACAAATTTACACTTACTCCTATCCCTCCCCCCCTCGCGATCTGGGAAAGAATATATTCGGGAACGCGGTGAAACGTGTCGAAATTCGACAGATCTACCCCCTTAAGAGGGCATCGTTAGGGTTGTTCCGATTCCCGTGACTCATCTCGATATATCGGGCGAGAAAGAGAGAGAGAGAGAGAGAGAGAGACCTCGCACACGCGTCCGATTTCACCATAAAACGTGCACGCTCCTCCGATCCCGGTGTGTTTGAATGTGGGCGGGGTGGGTTGCCATTTGCAATGCAAACGATAACACAGCGTATCGCACGAAAACGCGCACACAGGCACACACAGGTTCCCGCAAACGGAACGGGGTACCAGAAAGAGAGAGAGAGAGAGAGAGAGAGAGA